GCTGTTTTCAAAACACCCCTCACGGAGAGATCACAAGATCCTTCGGAATCCTTTCCAAACAGCTGAATAAGGGGCAAGCTAGAAAGCTCACTTTCAAAAAAAATCAGCTCTAACCGTACGAAAATTCACGAGGATGGGAGAATTCCTATCCATTCTCCTTGGAAAATTGTTTTCCCGTTTCATGTTCCCATCTCCCCACTGAGTTTCAAACATGCGGGTCCGACTTTCTAACAAACCTGGCAAAATGCGCCTTGGAGTGGAAGAGTGTGCTACTTCCATTACAGCTGCGGACTTCATAGAGTCGAAGGTTTCTGTTGGGTAACATCGTCATCCGGGCACTTGATTAGGCGGTGGGCGATGGGGTGCAGACGCGGCTGCAGCAGCGACCGCGTACGCAGGAACTGTTGCCGGCGATCGGCCTGGTTTAGTCATTTTCTCCCCACTTTTCACTGTTTTTAGCCTTTTTTAAGGTTAGTTGTTCCTTGTCTTCACAAGGTAAATTATGATTGAGATTTCTCTAATTTTTGCGAACAATTAAACAATTAAAAACAATTAAACAAATACCTAAAAAAATCGCAAAAACATTTCATTACAAAAGCAAAAAAGGAACCAGTCCTCATACTTCATAAAGGCAATAACACAACTTACCTCAGGAAAAAATAGAAAATACAGTGAAAATTAGGGAGAAAATGGCTAAACCAGGCTGGAAACAGCTGATCGCCGCGGTCGTGACGCGCCGCAGCCGCGTCTGCGACCTTTGACCGCCTAATCAACTGCCCGGATGACGACTGTAGTTGTGGGATGTGCAGTCGAACTGCAGTCGACTTTGTGAGAGCCTCACAGTATCTCTATTTAGGGCAGATCTCCTTGGAAAAAACTGCGAAAATCATGTCGCCATCCAATTACCGTCTGTATTCAAGCCTAACAAATGAAGCTATTCAATTTACAGAATTTAAATATCATCCTAAGTAAAATGGGTTCGCAGATCTTGCGCGCTGTTAACCATGGGAGAGGTCACTTTTTCATCGGTAGGATCATGCAGATGACAACAGAAATCCGTCGAATTATCCAGTTTCGCATGCGATAAGCGTAGTATGCATCTGGAAGGCTGTAACGTCATGAACATGACACGACATCCGGGGTCCCATGAACGCCGCGTCTTTTGAAGGGTTATCGCTCTTTCATTCGCATAAAACGTAGACCCTGGCTTTACACCTGCTGAGCCCGCTGGTAGCCCGGAAGCGTGGACCAAAACATCTGTACTTCGGAAACTTACATTCTTATCTCAGTAGAGTTTGATATGAAAATGTAGACGATCAGTATGGATAGGAGCTCGCACAGGAGGCGGGCTGTCGGAGAGTTCGGCGACGGGGGGGGCATTTTTGCACTTTATGCACTTCCCATCAACCGTGTGCGATTTATTCTACGCCTCCTACTTCTCGATGGTTGACAGCTTCACAGATGTGAACTTATGAACAGGAACTACGTGAAGCAGCTATGTGCAAATGACGCCCCCCCCCTCTCGCGAATCTAGCCGGGGTGTGTGTGTTGTTGGCTAATCTGGACATCACAGGCGGTTCAACTAAATTTTTAATTCAATTTACTTACTGTTGCAACTAATAATGTAATAATGACACAGCAGAGTGGAAACAATTTTCGGTGGGTGCTGTAAAAGGTGTACTTTGACGTATAAGGCACGGATAAACTAGGCAGGAGGGGGATCAATGCGTCAGCGGAAGGCAACAAATTGGAGGGGGACAGCAGAGGCAATGCACACATTGCACAGACCCTGTGGAGATTGCCGCGACTGATACCAAACTCGTCGGGTCCACCAACCCTCCCCCTAGGATGTAGCGAAGTACAAGAAGGGAGTATAGACTTAGGCTGCGTTTATACTTTGCGGCAGCGTAGCGTAGCGCTTTCCAGCGTACGCCAGCGCAGTGCCGGGAGAGGATGGATATCGATCTAGCGCTCCCAGCGTCACCAGCGTAACGCTAGCGTACGCCAGCGTTTCTCCAGCGTTTCACCAGCGTTTTGCTGGCGTTTGCAGCGGCAGGGGAGTATAGAATACGTGGCGTCAGAGACGCGCAATCGATGTGTTTTGTATCCTCCAGCTCTCCCATAGTCTCTACTCCCCTGCCGCTGCAAACGCTAGCAAAACGCTGGTGAAACGCTGGAGAAACGCTGGCGTAACGCTAGCGTACGCTAGCGTTACGCTGGTGACGCTGGGACGGCTAGATCTACCTTCTCTCTCCCGGCAACTTGCCTGCTGCTGAAGCGCTACGCCAACGCTGCGCAGAAGTATAGAACGCAGCCTCACCTTTGCAGTCGGTGATGCAGTATTAGGTTTTTCTGGAAGTGATGACATGCTCCTTGTTCTCAGAAAAGCTTCAAGATTTAGGAGCTGAAGTTTCATTGCATTGTGCCAACGAGGATGGTTGATGGAACTCTACATTGAAACTGGCTCGTCTGGACGTTTTAACAAGGTCATCGTCCTCAGACGCCACTCTGTGAGCCCCAATGCTGTAGTACCCATCGAAGACGTTCCCGCACGGCTTGGCGTCCTTCTGAGCGCCTGACTCAGTCTCTGAGATCGCGTTTGAAGGGAAGTTACGAAGGCTGCGGCCTCTCATGAGGCAATTCCTCCCTAGTTTCCCACTCAGCGAAACTCCTAGGATTCTCTATCACGGATGGTATTAGATTGGATGGCAGGCGAGGGAACAATTCATTGAGACAGTTGCGGCTAGGATATAAAACGAGCAGGCGCGGCGACGCGTAGCAATTCAGGCTGGCCTGAGGGTCTTTACCGTGTTGTCGTAAATGTTTTTTTTTGGCTTTTTTTCATCCTTGGATAGTATTTGGTGACTAGGTGACTAGTGAACGCCGCTATCCGTTACATACAGTCGCGTGGAGTTGTCTTCAACTAAAAGTAACCCAAAATGGCGTTTTTCCGTTCTACCGGTGGCGGACTGGCCTCAGAAAGCGATGTTGAGAACTAGTTGAGACGTTGAGCCATCAACAACTTGCTCCACCTGGCAACCTCGTTGGCACAGTAAAACGAAAACTGCTAAGTTTAAAACAATGCCGAGGCTCTGCGAAGAGAGAACATGGACACAGAGGGAATGGAGCTATTTTTGTGTTATGAGTCATTCAAAGATGAGTCATAGTTTCAGGTTTTCCCCCGCTTATTATTTTTCTCATCAGGGCGACCTATTACAGCATTTTGTAGAGTATTACACAGCCCAGGACCACATTCTTGCCCTTGTTCTTGTGATAGAATAACAAAAAGGACTCATGTTATTACCAGTTTTTGCTGTTATTAGTGGGCGCGGCTTATCTCGTAAGACATGCACTTCGGCTTAATACTTCTTTTCTATTGTGAAAGTTCGAAAGAAAATCGATGCATGAGTTACGGGGAACTGGTTTATAGACAGAGTACTGACCCATCGAGGTTACCTTAGGCCTTTGGAGTGAGAAGACATTGAACGAGGCCTTTTCCCAGGCCCGTTCAAAAAAGTCGTTAAAATTTCATTGTCTCTTATCTTCATAACTGGCGACATGTTACGTTGTTATGTCGGGCGTGCACTTGATGGCCATATGCCTGAAACGTGATATGCTCACCCGGGGAATCTCGCAATGCATGACAGAAAAAAAATCTGCAGCTCACCAAGGGATTCTATCCTCTGCTGAGAACTATAACTCTTCATCTTTCAGGTATCTCTTCTGTCACTGGAAATTCTACAAGCGTCACTTGACGCTTCTGGTGATGTACTAGCGCCTTACCTCCACGAACGGGTCGTACACATACTTGAGAGGTTCGTTTTTATGTACTGACTCCGTTGTTATAGCATCCGCTGTTCAGAAGGAAAATAGAAAGAGCAGATATATGCAATTTCCCTGGACTTGCTAAAAACTGCATGGATAAATACAGCTCTTCGGATGCTCCATGCGCTCCACTTTTTCCAAATTCGCGGGGGATTGATGCGATCTCCATAGTGACTCACAAAAGTCTGCCAAAGTGCAAGATAGTGCTTTTATTTTATTAGACGACTCCTTTGCCAGTTGTCCCGTTTAAGTAGGCAGTCGAGTAGTCTTGGTTGATCTTGATAGGTTTTGAGCTAGGATTCCATCCCGGATCATACCCAATCGCACATCATCATCTTTCCACCGAGATTACTCCATTTGGTTCAAAGTGCGTTATACTATCGAGATGCTTACTTTAGTAATACCTGGATTTTACTAAGAGGTCCTATTTCTTCAGTGTATTCAAGATTGTTCGATAAATGATAATGATGGGTTCCTGGAGGGCATTATCCTTCTTCATCGTCTTCCTTTCCACTTTTAGTCTTTTTTTTCTGAATTATTTAACCTGTTTGTCCATTCAGCCTAATCATAGTCTTCATATCCCAGAGAGTCCGTGGCTGCCTGGATATTCGAACGTGGTGGCCGCTGCACTTTTGGAGGGATATTGTAGTTTCAGAACACTTGCAAACATGACCTTGTGCAGTCGAAAATAGGGTAACACTAGTATCAAATGGATAATCCCACGAACAACGCATCCTACCCGAACAACGTCATGTTTGCAAAGTAACCAGTTACGTCCATCGCACGCCCACCTCAACGCTGCGATATGGAATGCCCGCAATGTCTCATTTGAATTGGGTAAAAGCGAGCAATCGGACCCCCAACGCGAATCTGCAAAGCATTGAGACACGCCGGATTCCAGACGCTCCGCAATTCGTGTGTTCTCAGATAACCACCACTTCAGAACTCATCCTGAGACCATCGGCGTGGAGAAGCGTAGGCGACCGACATTACCTACTACCATAAATTCTGATCGTACACCAGTTCCTATCAGCACCTACATCGCAGATTCGGCCCAGGGGGCGTATGTTTTCAATTCCTGTCTATGTGATTTTTGGTTCAGCTCTAAACCCTAAGCTATTCTTTTGGGGCAGCTTGCTAACCAACGAATTATGAATCGATTATTTGGCGCTGGCCCTATTTACGGCGCTACACTTTTCGCCGAATCCCCGCGCCGCAAATCACTGGACCATTATTTGAGTCCACTACGAATAGGATCGTCTTGAGTTGCCTTGATTCGTCATCATTCATCGTTGGAGTTCTCACGCTCGAAGTCACGAAGCGCATTCCCCCTGTCCCTGCTCCTTCCTCTCCGAGCCATCTTGGCTTTACAGCACTACACGGCTGCGAGCCACCAAAAATGCATTGTCACAGTTTCACAGATCCGCCGCTCACCAACCATAATACTCAAACCCCCACCATACTCCAATTTGGCCACGGAAGGTTGCCTGCGCAGGCGCCCAAGAGGATTTCGTATTCCTTATAAAGGCAGCGGATGATCTCTATAGTCGACATTTTTTGAGGTCTTGAGGTAGTAGTATCTCAAAAAAAGACACTTTTCTTATGTTATAGGGCGTTCGGCAGAGGTACGAAAGAGGATCGGGAGCCAGGAAGTATTCCTCAGGTTCAAAGTAAATAGCTGTGGGATGAGCGAACCAGTTTGAGCAAAAAATGGTTTAAAAAGAAACTCTCAACACTCCGTAGCTTCAAATGAGTTTACAAAATGCCGCACCATCTCATAAGCCGAACTGCATTCAACAGTTTCATCTTCTGTGCTAACAATAAGCAACCGCTTCGAAAAGCATGGAATCTCTTGGGCGGGATGTGATTCATGGCGCGTAGGAATGATCCTAACTAAGGAATAATATTTGATTCGAATAAAAAGACGTTTACGCGAAAGTAACTGTTTATTCAGACGCTGAGAGGAGTGGGAAGAATTCTATATGTACGGCGATACCAGTTTTATTTAATTTCATTTCAAGAGTTATTTTACTTTATTTCAGTTTTTGAAGTAATATCGCATTTGGCATACTTTCACTTGGCAGCACACCATATCCTTATGGAAGGATGTGATTTTTGCAATTTCCTCTCCAAACCATTCACTTGTCATTTGCCACCCTAGATTGCACTTGCATTCTCCCACCATGGCAAATTGTCATCGATCAGCTGAACAAATTTGGCGTTGTTCGGGGTTTCATAGGACTAACATAAGCGAATTCCTCGCATAGACCACGAAAATCATTTGCGCCAAGGGGTTACGCCATTATGTGAAAGGAGGGAAGTCGCCCTATACAAATGAGAAGGAATGCACATGAAATCAGGTATGCAGGCTAGGCGCCATATTGGGTAGGATCCTATTTCACACTTCAAAGGCTCGTCAATTTGCAGGGTACTAGAGAAGGTCGTTAAAGGGAATAGCCAATAAAACAGCTGCAAATGGCGCGACGAGCGTTGATCGGGAAAAGGGTTAACTGAAATTCTGAAGACCAATTTCATAGGGTTGCATTTTTTCACGTAGTACGTTGGGGAATCCCAGGGAGGGGTCGTATTTGGCCTGAGAGATGTTTTTTGATAGTTGGTTTTTTTGGTTTCAGGGACGCTACAAAGGGGATATTTGTCCGGCTCTTTGAGGGAGGTTGTTGACTGTTTGTGGTTTTTCCTGTTTCATATGTGCTATATAGCTCCGCTCCCTCTCCTGACACAGGGCACTTGGGGAATCCCCAACAGGGGTCGTATTTGGCCGCCAGGAGAGGGGGGGTCGTATTTGGGCCGAGAAAAATTTATTTTGATAGTTGATTTTTCTCGCTTCACGGACGTTGTAAAAAAAGGGGGTCGTTCACTTTCTGGCCTTTCTAGGAGGTCGTACCACCACGGGGG